CTCGGCGACGCGTTGTCCCACGGTAGTCTGACGGCGTTTGCCTGAGACCCTCGCGCCTGTTAGTGGCGCGATGATATGAGCATCTGGTCAGGCCACTACCGCCTGATATACGCATGTGCCTGCGCACGCATAGCTACACTGACCATTTGCATTTACATGCGCATATCCATACAAACGTATACATATATTTGTACATATGCACTATGCATTCATAAAAGCATGTGCGTGCGCATGTACGCACGCTCGCACTCCGCTAGCGCGCGGATTCCAAAAGGTCCAAGGTGCGCGGCGCGCAGCGCCAATGCAGTCTTGTATATATGTATATATACATATCATATATGTATATATACATATATATATATATATATATATATATGCGTTAGTTTCCTGTCTCCCGTGGTGACGTCCGGGGAATATTCGGCCCCCCATCCGCGCATTGGTTCTGTACACAAGGTTATCGGGAATCGGGTTTCGCTTGTTTTTTTGCTGCTCTCGCTGAAGCGCTGACGTCATTTTCAGGCTGCCGCTTGTTCCGAGTCGTGCTCTCGCTGCAGCGTGGGCCACATCTCCGCGGTCCGCTCGTTCCGAACCGTGCTCCCGCTGCAGCGTTGGCGTCATTATTCCCAACGCCATGTAACGGCATGCTTTTCGGTCCTTCCAGATAGCCCCCCATATCCAGAACATGCCCCTCCGAAACGACCATCGGAAGTGATTCCACATTCGGTGTCGATTCGTTGATTTTTAGGGTCGCAGAAGCCCCCCCCTCCCCACTTTGGAGCGTCGCCACGCATTGCGCTCTCAGGCTACGCGTCCTCCGAATCGTGCTCCCGCATGCTTTTCGGTCCTCCCAAATAAGCGCCCAAATCGAGAACATGCCCATCCGAAACAACCATCGGACGTGATTCCGCGAGCGCACCTAGCTTGTAGGCTAACCCTCCTCTCTTCCTTCTGTTGGCATTTCCAGCTGGAGGGCCCTGGCTGAAATTGGGGGTTTCGAAATGATTGTTTTTTTGTGTTCGGCGTACTTGTGGTTTTCGGCGTCTCTTTGGTTTTCGGCGCATCTTTCGTTTTCGCCCCCCCTTCGGTTTTTGGCGCCCCCTTGGTTTTCGGCGCCCCTTTTGGTTTTCGGTGCCTCTTTGGTTTCCGGTGGCCCTTTGACTTTTTGCGCCCCTTCGGTTTCGGGCGCACCTTTGGTTTTCGCGCGCCTTTGAGTTTCGGCGCTCCTGTGGGCGTTCCTTCGGTTTTCGGCGCCCCTGGAAGTTTTCTGCGCGCCATTTGGGTTTTCGGCGCATCATGGGTTTTCCGCGCCCTCTTGGGTTCTGGCGCCCATTTGGGTTTTGTGCGCCCCTTTTGGTTTTCAGCGTTTCTTTGGTTCTCGGCGCCCCATCTTTGTTGCGGCGCCCTTTTGGTGTTCGGCGATCTGTTGGTTTTCTGTGCGACTTTGTTTTTCGGCGCCTTTCGGCTTTCGGCGCGATTTTTGTTTTTGGCGCCCTTAGATGTTTGATTTCCTTTCGCCTATCGGCCCCCCTTTGATTTTTCGGCGCCTTTCATTCAGGCTTTCGGTGCATCGTTGGTTTGCGGCGCCCCTTTGGTCTTCGGTGCTCTGTTGGTCGTCGGCGCCCCTTTGGTTTTCGGCGCCCTTGCGGTTTTCGGCGCCCCTTTGGTGTTCGGCTTTCTTTTCGTTTTCGGCGCCCTGTTGGTCTTCGGAGCTCTTGTTTTCAAGGCTTCTTTGGTTATCGTCTCCCTTTTTGTTTTCGGCGCCCTTTGGTTGTTCTGCACCAGTGTGGTTTTCGGCGCATCGTTTGCTGTCGGCGCCCCGCCGGTTTTCGGTGCTCCTTTTGGTTTTCGGCGTCCTGTTGGTTTTGACCACCCCATTGGTTTGTCGGCACTCGTGGGCTTTCGGCGCATCGTTGGTTTGCGGCGCCCTTTGGTTTTCGGTGCTCTGTTGGTCGTCGACGCCCTTCTGGTTTTCGGCGCCCTTGCGGTTTTCGGCGCCCCTTTGGTTTTCGGCGCCCCTTTGGTTTTCGGCGTTTTTTTAGTTTTCGGCGCCCGCCCTTTTTGGTGTTCGGCGCCCTTTTTTGGTTTTCGGCGCTCCTTTGGTTGTTGGCGCCCCTTTGGTTTTCGGCGCTCTTGTAGCATTCGGCGCTCTTTGGTTTTCGGCGCCCCTTTGGTTTTCGGCGCCCGACCTTGTGGTTTTCGGCGCCCCTTTTCTGGTGTTCGGCACATCTTTGGTTTTCGGCGCCCTTGTGGTTTTTGGCGACGTCTTGGTGTCTGGCGCTCATTTTTTGTTCGGCGCCCTTTTGGTTTTCGGTATCCTTTTGGTTTTCTGCGCCCTTTTGGTTTTCGGCGCCCCTTTCTGGTTTTCGGCGTCCCCTCTTCTGTTCGGCGCTTCTTTGGTTTTCGTCCCCCTGTTGGTTTTCTTCGCCCCCTTGATTTTCGGCGCCCCTGTGGTTTTCGGCGCCCCTTCGGTTTTCGGCGCTCCGTTGATTTTCGGCGCTCTGTTGGTTTTCGGCGCCCCTTTGGTTTTCGGTGCCTTGTTGGTTTTCGGCACTTCCGGCGCCCTTTTCATTTTTGGCGCTCTTTTGGTTTTCAGCTCCCCTTTGGTTTTCGGTGCTGTTTTGGTTTTCGGTACGGAGGGGAGGGGGGAGGGGGGCCTGCAGCAATAGGAGCTCCAGGGAAGGAGTGGGTAGCGAAGTCCCCCCCCCCCCCTGTCTGGAAAGGACGGGACGGGAGGGGGGTAGCTTCCAGAGCGCGAAATAAGGGCAAGGGAGAAGGGGGGGGACTTCGGGCAGGGGAGGTTCAAGGGGGGGGACTTCGGGCAAGGGAGTTTCAAGGGGGGGGGGGGTAGCTAAGGAGGGATCCCCTCATTGGGAGTGTTTCGCGGGCGCTCTTTCTCGCAAGTGTGGCTCATAGGCCATGCGGATGCTGCTTGCCAGGTGTGATCCTCGACGTCATGATGTCTTCATGGCGTGGACCCCAGAAGTCTGGACCCGTTCCTACGGGGCCCAGAAATAGACGCCACCACCACCTCCCTCACCCCCTCGCCCCCCCATTAAAGAGGAAACTAAGAGGAGGGCAGAGCAGGGAGGGGCAATCGACGCGGTGGTGGTGTACATTCTTGGGGCCCCACCATTCCCCTGGGACCCGGCTTCTCCTCCCGAGCCGTCCTTTGCTTGTCCCAGGGGCCCGGCGGGGGCGCCAATGGAGCCCGACAGATTGGAAAAACAGGCCGTCCGGATTTGTACCCCTCATGCCTTCCCCTTGCCTTTCCCTTGCTTTCCTTGCCGCCGATCCCTTCCCTTGGCTTCCTTGCCTTCCTCTGCCTTTGTCTCCGCGTTCCCTGGATCGGGAGGGCTTCGTCTCCGCCTTCCCCTTGCCTTCCTTGCCTTCCTCTGCCTTTGCTTACCTTCGAAGCAACTTGCGCGTCATATTTGTCATGGCGCCTGCATCGCAGAGCGGATTTCGTTCGGATAACGATCGGATGGGCCTGGGATGTCCTGGAGAATTTCGTTCCGGATTTCGAGGTGAATTTCGTGCGGGTTTTTCGGGGCAGGAATGAACACCAAAAAGAGTCCACGGTGCACGCGAAATTCACCTCGTTTTTCGCTTGCCGCTTCGGGCAAAAATCCACGCAGAAATCCGATGCAGCACGTCTGCAAGGCCGTTGCGATGACCCTTGCCTTCCTTGCCTTCCTCTGCCTTTGCTTTCCTTCGAAGCAAGTTGCGCGTCACATTTGATTCAGCATTTTCCAGCGGGCACACAGACGCACCGATCTGCATGCTGCCGCGCACGTCCATGGGCTGCCCGCAGCCTTACGACTCCGGCCGACCGACCGACGCGAGTGGGTCTGGGTATGGTGTCAAGTCGGGCATGTCCCTCTGCAGGCGGACATTTGTTCGTCTAGCGTTGACCCTTTTTGAATATGGTTTGGCCACGTTTCGTTTCTTCTTCCACCACCCGCCCGTAGGAGGACATGCCCGACCTAAGTATGGTGCGTGGCGGGCGAGGCGAAGCGGCGCGCGCCCGTGTCCAGCCGAGGAGGGGCGCCACCCGCCCCCGCGGCCGCAGGGAAGGGCGCGGGCGGGCGCCGCGCGGCCGCGGAACGCGGCGGGGGGCGTGGCCCAGTCGGGTGGCTTGCCACCGCTGGCGATACCCATCGGTCGTCGAAGGTAGGTGTTTTGGGAGTCCCACATTCCAATATGCTTCAAGCGCCTTCCTACTTCAATGATCGAGTGGCTTCACCTTTTCCGCCCTCTTTCGCGGGTGGGCGGACACCCAATCTACGTTCAACGCCTTCCTACGTCATGTTTCTACCTACTTCTTCCGACCGATGGGTAAGCCTGCTTCTTCTCTCGGGGAAGCGTAAGACTCGAGTTCGCCGGACTTGGGTTTGCCGACGCTTTTCGACCAGCCCCTCCTGCATTTTGAAAGTCCAGTTTTCGTGGGATCTTTACACTGGGAACTCGCGTCATATTTCATATTGGCTATCGTGATTTCCCTGACGGCCCCGTCAGGCCAACCCGAGTCCCGCGAACCCGAGTCTTACGCCTCCCCGATTCTCCTGGTCTCCCTCCCCCACCTTTCTTTTTTTATACGTTTATTTGCTTTGTTTGATTAGTTCTTTTTTGTTTCTCTCTCTCTCTCTCTCTTCCCCCCTGAGATCCGGGCGCTGCAACTTTTTCACGCCAGTCGTTTCTGCTGTGGTTCGGGCCCCAGGACCATCACAGATGGACTGTGCTGGAAGAGTGCCGCAGAAAGATGGGGCCCAGGGCTCTGGTCGGGATTTCCCGTGATGTTGCAATGATTTCGCAGCGTCGGATCTCAAGGCCCTCCCCCGCGTCACGTCTCCCTCTCCCCTCCCCTTTCATCTCCCCTCCCGATCCCTCCCCGGCTATCATCCCCATCCCCTCTCTCCGCCACCTCCTCGGATTCCCCCCCCTCGGCCCCGCCTGTAGGAAGGCCGGGGTGGAGCCCCCCCCCCCTCCTGTGCCGCCCGCAGGAGAACGCCGCCGACAAGATCAAGAACCTTTCCAAGAAGGACAGCTCCGTCGAGACCCCGGGCCCCGACCCGCCGGCCTCGGCCCGACCGGTCGATCGATCGGGGCCACGGCGGGCGGCACGGGCCTCGGCCTCGGTCGGCCCGCGCCGCCAGATCGGAGGGGCCTTGCCCAGGGCCAGCCGAGAGCCGGGTCCGTCCGATCTCGCTGGCGAGCGGCGCTGACGTGCGCAACGGGGGTCGGCGCTGACGGGGGTTAGCCAGTGCCGTCCGAGGTCTTCTGGCCAATCCAGATTGGGGAGCCACCTGGAGCCGACCCCGCTCCCCCGCCCTCCGCTGATCCGGGCTTGGCAGCTACTTCGCGGCCGACCTGGGAATTCGCGACGTGGCCCTGGCTGACCCGCGTTTGCGCTGACTCCCTAGACATGCGATGTCCCGACGATTGCCACTATGCGCTCCCCCGCGAAGTCACGACCCTTTCCCGAGTCCCGAGTCGTTTCTGGACGGCCCTGGGCCCTGAGAGCCTGAGCGGCCGACAACGACCAACAACCAGCCGTCGTGTTTTTTTGTTTTACGACTCGAGCATGCCTGGGTCTGACTAACTGATCAGGTCTGTCCAGATCTCGGTGCTGGTAGGGGCCAGGCCAGGGGACCGGTGCGGATCCGTGGGCCCCGCTGAGGTCAAGATCTCCTACGTCGGCCTGGGCCCGTGGGAGGTCCGCTTCGCGCCCCTCCTCCCCATCAATAGTGGGCGTTCCAAGCAGTCCGAGGCGAGAGTTTATGCGTGACCACCGCCTGGAGGGTCAGTTCTCGGAGCCTCGGCAGGCGGTGCATATGGACAGATTCGGGCCCCCTGGGGGCCGAAATATATCCATATCCACCGCTCCCTGGGGCACCAGGACGTCGGTTCCCAGGCGGTGGATATGGATAAATCCCCACCTCGCAAAAAGGGCATTTCCTTCGAGGATCGAAGGAGTTGTCACCTCTTCCTCGGCGGAAGGCGGCGGACAGGCGGCGGAGGTAAACCGAGATCGCCTCCGCTGGCGGATAATGCGCCCCGGAGAGATGACAACTGTTTGGGGTTCCATGGTTCCCGGAATCCGCCATATCGGCGACGAAATCTGAACCCTACCCCGCCTCCCATCGATTCTGGAGAATCGATGGTTGGTGGGGGGTAGGGTTTGGACGTCGCCACCTACCATTATTGAGCCTGGGTGCGCCGAGTGTGTACCCAGCCCGAGGCCCTGGGGCTGTGGTTCTGTCCTTTCTCTTGACGCTGAGCCAGCAGCAAGCTTCTACTGCCCCCCCCAACTCTGCAAAGCAAGCGGTGGGCCCGGCCGCCTTGCGAAGTCGACCCTGCGCGCGCCGGGGCGGATGAGGATTCGCCGTGAAGGAAAGGAGGTCCTGAAGTAAACGGATCCTGGACCCCGGGGCTGGCCCCAGGACCCGGTGAGCGACGCAGGAAAGCGAGGTCGACTGCGCCGACACCCTCGCGCCGCCTGCGCAAGATGGCGCGCAGGCTCCCTCGTCTCCAATGCGGCGTGTCCCACCTGCGGCCCGCGCCGGCCACCTCGTTCCTTTCCGTCGCCCGTGCATCCCAGACCCCCGACGTCATGAATTTTTCATGACGTCGACCCCAGCGGTCTGGACCCTTTCCCCGGGACCGGTTTTTCGTCCTGAGTCGTTTTTCGACGGTCCCGAGGGCCGGTAAGGGCCCCCGAAGGCCAAAAAGAATGAAAAACTTCCCGTCATGATTTTTTCATAACTCAAGGGGGTCTGGCCACCTCGTTCCTTTCCGTCGCACATGCATGCCTTCATCATCCGTGGCCTCCTGAGGGCCGGCCGGAGGCACGGGCCCGTGCCCCCGGCCATGGCCTCCTGAGGGCGCGCTGCCCGCCCACAGCGAGGCCGCGGCGGCCAGGCGCAGCGACCGCGGCGGCCAGGCTGCCGTGCATGCGCGGACCGCCCCCGGCCGTCACTCCGCCGGCTCCTCGGAGCCCTAGACCCCCTCGAGTTATGACAAAATCACGACGGGAGGTTTTTCATTCTTTTTGGCCTCTGGGGGCCCTTCCCGGCCCTCGGGACCGTCAAAAAACGACTCGGGACGAAAAACCGGTCCCGGGGAAAGGGTCCAGACCTTCGGATGCAACTCCTGGGAGGTCAAATTCTGATTTTGCCCTGGTCCGAACTCCGGCTTAATCCCGCTTAATCCGGATGAATCCCGCTTAATCCGGCTTAATCCCGCTTAATCCGAGGCCCACTCTTGCGTAAGAGCCCCCCAATGGGGCTTAATCCTCCTTAATCCTTCCGACGAAAACCTCCCAGTAGTTGCCTCCTAACAGACCGCTGGGGTCGACGTCATGAAAAATTCATGACGTCGGGGGTCTGGGAGGGCAGGTGGGCGCCGGGGCCCGCCGCGTGGACGGCGGCGCAGCGGTGCAGCGGCGCAGGATCGCCGCGGCCGCGGGGCGGGCAGGCCGCCCGCAGGCAGCGCGGGGGCGCGGCCCGACCGGCCGCGCGCCGCGCTCGGGCGCCCAGCGGCGTGTCCGAACGGCTGGCTTGAGGGGGGGGGGCACGAGGCGCGGCACGGCCCCTCGATGATCGTCAGGACGTGTGTTAGCCCAATGCGTGCTTACCCCGTTCAGCCCCACCGGCAGATCATTACATGACCTGGATCGTCTCGAGCGGTCTCGATGGACAAACACACGTTGGCGCTGGCACACGTTTTGAGGATCGTCGGCCCACTGCATCCGACCCCACAACAAGCAGCGGCCCGAGCGGCGTCATCCCTGGCCCTTGGCGGCGCTCCCGTTCAGCGCACCTTCCCCGTCGCCTTCCCGAATTCCTTGCTCACTGGTCGTGCGGGGGCAAAAGGGCTCCGAGCGAGAGCCTCGCCTCCCCTACTCTCCCCCCCCCCCCATCCCCCCTCCACTCCCACCCCACCCCGAGCAGCGGCCCGAGCAGCGTCCTCCCTGGCCCTTGGCGGTGCTCCCGTGCAGCGCAACCTGAAGGGGGCTTCCGCGCGAGCGAGAGAGCACGCCGCGCCAGGCGATGTACTCGCCCAGCGATCGTCCGCAGAGTGCAGAGCGTCGTCGCATCCTGTGTCTTTTCTCCCCCTCTCTCCTCCTCCTCCTCCTCCTCCTCCTCCTCCTCCTCCTCCTCCTCCTCCTCCTCCTCCTCCTCCTCTTCCTCCTCCGCCGCCGCCGCCGCCGCCGCCGCCTCCTCCTCCGCCTCCGCCTCCGCCTTCTCCTCCTCCTCCTCCTCCTCCTCCTCCTCCTCCTCCTCCTCCCCGCCGCCGCCTCCTCTGCCTCCGCCTCCGCCTTCTCCTCCTCCTCCTCCTCCTCGTCCTCCTCCTCCTCCTCCTCATCATCATCATCATCATCCTCCTCCTCCTCCTACTACTCATCCTCCTATGTCTTGCGCGCTGCAGAGGCTTTCGGTGTATCAGGCCTCTCGGTCGCCTCCGTTGGTCGTTCGAGCCTCCTGCGCGGCGCGGGCTCTTCGCTCGGACCGCTTTTGCCTCGGTCCACTGATCGATCGTGACGCGAGGATAGTTCCAGCGAGGCTCTGTCGGTGTCGGCCCCCTCGGCCCCTGCGATCCCACGTTGCCGGACCTTGAGGTAGAGGATGGCTATATCGACAAACTCTGGTCACGTCGCTTCCCCTCCTCCCCCCTCCTCATCTCCTCTTCATCTTCTTCTTCTTCTTCTCCTCCTTCTTCTTCTTCCTCCTCCTCCTCTTCCTCCTCGGTCGGTCGGTCGACTCGGTTTGATGGCACGTGCTTGCAGCTGCCAGTCTCCTGAAAAGCTTCTGGTTGGGAGAGGATGGGCGCCACAGGGGGGGACAGCTCGAGCCTAGCCCCCTCACCTCCTGAAGTCATTGTCGAGCTCTCCCCGTGTAAGGGTCAGCGCTCACTACGAAGGGTGTTGCATCGATCGGACTGTCAAGTTCTTCCTGTGCCTCCAACCCTTGATACTTCATGAGGCATTTACGTGAGAGAGCATCACGAGGCGTCAAACAAAAGAGTCTTGGGTAGACCTTGGCCTCTTCCGTCCTCCAGCGTCCTCGGGTCCTTTCACCATGTAGTTGTGCATGCGTCGCAATGCGTATGGCTGCTGTCGCATCCGACCCGCCAGGCAACGCACAGACAACACCTCGAAGTGACCTGCATCGAACTCCAAGGAGAGTGGTGGGTCTGAGCACATCGGACCCCAGCAGACGTTGAGCGAGATGCACGATCACTGTGGGGGGGGGGGGGCAGGCAACGCTATCCACTTCAGCTCTGGGAGATTTCATGGCGAGGATGTTGAGTCGAAACGAACACTTTTTGGGGCGTTCCATAATCATGGGCACGGTGGAATGATAATACACGTCGAGAAAGAGGAGTGTCGTACGGAGCAATATGTTTCCAACCTGATTTGGTTGAAGCTCTTTTTCAGAAAAAGAGCTTTTTGAACCCCCAAAGAGACGTCACGATGCGCAGGGGGTGGGGTGAGAACCTACCTCCAGCCATGCCTCGCACTGCACTCCAAGTCTCTCCATGGGGTCCAGCCATAGCCCCACTGATCCTCCCCGCGCGATTCAATTCTGCCAGATGTATGTGGCCTGTTTGCTGCATAGGTGTCCCCCTCGTCTCCCTTCTCCTCCCCCCTTCCTCCCCTTCCCCCTTCTCCTCCTCCTCCTCTCCCCCTTCTCCTCCTCCTCCTCCTCCTCCTCCTCCTTCGGATGACTCGCCCGCTCACCACCTTTCGCCTTTGGCCGCTGTTGTCTACTGCTGTTCCTTTGTCTCCGCGTCTGCCTCGGTTCTGAACCTCGTCTCGGCCTCGCGGCCGTTAGACCTCGGGAGCGGGGCTGTCTTGGACTCGGACGGGGTCATAACTGGGTACATCCACTATCTAGTCCCCCATCCAGGGACACAGGGGGCGACCGTCTAGGTTGCCGCAGGGCTCCCCAACACCGATCGGCTGGTGCCACCCTCGGGGTGCGACCACCTCCACCCCCGTCGTCTTCCGCACACGCGTCGCCGGCATCCCATGAGGACCGAAGTGCGGGGAACGTCTTCCGGTCACTTGAGGACCGAGCTACGCTTGACCCCCCCGTGGGGAGGACAAACCGTGCCCCCCTTGGGAGCGCCACTGGGGCTTGAACTCGGTTCGATGCGCTCTGGCGGCACCAATGTTGACAACATGGGGCTCACATTCGCATTCATTGTTCACACACACATCACGCTTGGATCATTCGTCGTTCCCTCCTGCTTGGACGTCTGCCCAACAAGCGTTGACCCCCAGGTCACGGGGCTGCGAGGCAGAGGTGGCTGCCACAGGATATGCGCTACACGCGTATCACCCACCAGCACCAGGTGCCAACATTGGAACCTCGTCTTGGCCGCGTGGCCGTTAGACTTCGGGAGTGGGGCTGCCCTGGACTCGGACGGGGTCATAACTGGGTACGTCTAGTATCTTAGGCTTCCATCCAGGGACCCAGGGGGCGACCGTTTAGGTTGTCACATGGCTCTTCAACACCGACCCGCCGGTGTCACCCTTGGGAGGCGGCCACCTTTTCGGCGGACGTATTCCGCACAAGCTCCGCCAGCATCCCATGAGGACCGAAATGCGGGATACGTTCTCCGGTCACTTGAAGACCGAGCTATGTTTGCCCCCCCCCCCCCCCCCCCGTGGGGCGGACAAACCGTGCCCCCCTAGGAACACACATTGTTGCTTGAATTCGGTATGGTGAGCTCTGTCAGCACCAATGCTGACACCACATGGGGCTCACATTTACATACGTTGCTATTGCAAATCATGCTTGGGTCCATCATTCGTCGTCCCCTCATGATGGGACGTCTGACCAACATGCGTTCTCCCACCCAGTCACGGGGCTACGAGACACATGTGGCTGCCACAGGATATGCGCTATACGCAAATCACCCACCATTACCAAGTGACAACATCGAGCACCTATTTTAAAGGTGTGAGAGTCCACGTGCCCCATCCAATTCAAAAGGGTTCTGCCCACCCTGAAGGGCATCAGCGCTACACTGCAATCCTCCTCCTCCTCCTCCCCCTCCTCCTCCTCATCCTCCTCCTCCCATAGGGTCCAAGAGGAAGCAGCCCTGGAGGACTCTTCCCGCTTTTTGGTTGGGTCCTGGGTCCCCTCGTGTGCCCCAGGACGGTCGAAGATCCGCTCAGGATGGCGAGCCGGCTCAGGGGCCCCTCCTCCCCATCTCCTCGTATTCGCCGTCCTCGTCATCCTCGGCATCCTCGACGCCTGTACCCAACGGATCTCGAAGAAGAACAAACGCCATACATAAAATGCTTGGCCCATCGCGCGGATATCTTGGATCCGCGCCGGGCCCCCCCCCCGGCGGCGCTTCTGGCGCAGCCCCTGGCGCGCTCCAAGAAATCCGCGCGGAGCGCCAAAAGTTTATGTTTATGGCGTTGTTCTTCTTCTAGGATCTGCCGGCATCTCTCCAGCTGTGCTCCAGCTGCAGCTCCGTGCAGTCGCCCGGGAATCACGTTTCACTGGGGTGCGCATCTCTGCCAGGTCGTTTCAGGAGCGCGCCGATTGGAGCATCTAGTCCGTGGCTCGTGACTCGGGCCCGAGCGGCCACGGAATCCCTCGCCCCTTCCTCCCCCCTCCTCATGCACAATCACCCCTTCTCCAATCCGCTTCTCTTCGTTCTTACCCTCGTCGTCGTCCTTGCAGTTGCCGTCGTCCTCCTCACCGCCGCACTCCTGCTTCTCCCCCTGCTGCCGCGCCGCCTCCTCCCTCCAGGTCGGCGGGCAGAGCATCCCCTTCCAGAACGCCGAGGGGAAGTTCTACGGGAACGGCCTGAAGCTGCTCTGGTACACCCAGACCCTGAAGAAGTTCCAGGCAGGGCGCGAGCAAAACGTTGTCTCTCGCCACCCTCCAAGCCACTCCAACCCAACCCGAAGGCCTCAGTTTGCCCTCCACTTCCAGCGGGGGGGGGGGTCGGGGAACATTGTAAAAACACGTGGAACTCCTACCCCCCCCAACCCGGAATTCGGGTCAAATTGGGTCGTCGGGTTGGGTTGGGGTGGTTTGGTAGGTAGTCAGTTTCGTGCTGTTGCGTGTGGGTTTTGCATGCCGCTTTCGTCCCCTCGGTCTGCTTTCGGGCGCCGGCGCGCGGCCGTCTGGCTGCCGTTCTCGCGTTGCAGCGGTCTGGAACGGCGCGGGACGTTCGGGGGATCTCGGAGGTTGACAGACCTCTTGCCCTGACACGCCGATAAGCGAACTGGCCGTTTTCGGTTCGCGAGAGGGCGTCGCGGCCGTCCTTTTTGCAGGTCCGGGTCCGTCGGCTTCGGTCCGAGGCCGTTTTCACGACGGGAAGTTTTACGAAAGGGAGGTCTGTCCATCGCCGAGGGTGGTGCCGTTTTCGTTTCCTCGTGATCGTCAAGCGGTGTTCGAGCCAAGGGCGACGCTCTGCTCGCGCCCTGCTCCCAGGGGCAGTACGACTACATCTTCATCGCCGACGGTGCCGACCTCTACTTCCAGCGGAGCCCCGTGGCGGGCAAAACGGGGGCGGGCCGGCGGGGGCCCAGGCGATCGCAGACATGGGGGCGGGGGCGGGGGGGCGGGTCAGTGGGGGGCGGGGGGCCAGTGGGGGCGGGGGCGGCCCCGTGGCGGGCGAGCGGGGGCGGGGGGCGGGCCAGTGGGGACCAGTGCGGGCCAGTGGCGGGCGAACGGGGGCGTGGATTGGCGACGGGTCATGGTTCCATGGGGAGTCGCGGATTCAGCGAGGCGGCAGCGACCTCATTTTGGGGAGGGCACCTCCCCCGATCCATGGATTCGGCGACCGCGCGCCAGATCCACGGATCGCCCATCCCTGGTTGCGCGCCCCCCAGGGCGAGACTGCCAGATTGGAAGGTTCGCCAGGTTGAGTGCTTTCCACCCGAAGGGGCGCGCCACAATTTTGTTTCAGCATCCGCCAGGTTGGGTCGTATGCCAGATTGCTCTTCAAACGATATGTATGTATGTATGTATGTATGTATGTATGTATGTGTGTGTATGTATGTATGTATGTATGTATGTATGTATGTATGTATGTATGTATGTATGTATGTATGTATGTATGTATGTATGTATGTATGTATGTATGTATGTGTGTGTATGTATGTATGTATGTATGTATGTATGTATGTATGTGTATATTTATATATACATATATATATGATGATGCTGGGGCCATTTGCCAGATTGCCACATTGGCGCCAGATTGGCTCTCGCCAGGTTGGACCAGATTGACTCCCTCGCCAGATTTCGGCGTCACCCCAACATACTAATACTACGTGTGCGTCGCCCCCCCCCCCCCCCCCCGGGGCGACGCGCGCACCGGGAAATCTTAGTATATGCGTCGTTGCGGGCGCTTTCTGGCCACACCGCGCGGGGAACGATGCACTACAAGATGGGTGTACTGCATGTTCGGGTCGGACGCGCGCCTCCAAGGAGGACATCCAGTACTAGTATGTCTCTGTGCGCCCCAAGATTGCCAGATTGGACCCGTCGGGCTGGACGAAAGGGGGGGATAGGGAAAGGGGGGGTACGAAATTTGCTGCATGTAGCTGGTTTCGATCCCATCGATGGGCCCATTCCTTGACACATGGCCGCCTCCGGCGCCAGGAGGCGCTGGAAAAGTCAGCCACGTGAGCTGATTCTCGAACCCCCCCTTTGCTATCCTCCCCCTCCTCCCCTCCTCCTCCCCCTCTTTCCTCCCCCCCCTCTCCCCTTCCGCATCCTCCGACTCGTCGTCGTCCTCCTCCTTCTCCTCCTCCGCCTCCTCCTGGTCCTCCTCGTCCTCCTGTTCCTCCTCCTCCTCCTCCTCCTCCTCCTCCTCCTCCTCCTCCTCCTCCTCCCTCCTCTCCACTCCCATCCTCCTCCATATTCTCCCCCCCTTTCGCCCAGCCCGAACCCGCCAGATCGGCCTCCACTGCCCAGAGGGCGGGGGGGGGGAGGGCGCCCGCAGCCCCGCCGCACCCCGCAGCTGGCTCGTCGGCCCCGCGCCCCGGGCCCACCGCCTCGCGGCACGGGCGCCTCCTCGCGAGCGGGCGGGGGCGCTGCGGGCAGGCGGTCGCAGTCATGGATCAGAGGGGGCGTGGAACAGCGACGGGTCCCGCTTCCATGGGAACCCGCGGCTTTCCCCCGCGGATCTCCCCCGCCGAGCGGGGCGGGCCAGTGGGGGCCCCGGCGATCGCAGACATGGATCAAAGGGGGCGTGGATTAGCGACGGGGCATGGTTCCATGGGGAGTCGCGGATTCAGCGAGGCGGCAGCGGCCGCATTTTGGGAAGGGCACCTCCCCCGATCCATTGATTTGGCGACCGCGCGCAAAATCCACGGATCGCCCATCCCTGTTTGCGCGCTCCCGAGCTTTGGGAAGGCGGGGCCACGAGACCCGGGAAGGCGGCGCTACCCATCGGTCGTTGAATGCAGTTTTTTGGGGGAGGCCCGGGTTCCAATCTGCTCTGAGCGCCTTCCTACTTCGAGGCTCGAGTGGCTTCCCCCTCTTCCGTCCTCGCCACGAAGGAAGCGGGTCCAAGAGGAAGCAGCCCTGGAGGATCCTCCCGGCTTTCTGGGACAGTCCTGAGGCCCTTCACGCGTCCCAGGACCGTCGAAGAGCCTCGCCATGAAGGAAGCGGGTCCAAGAGGATGCAGCCCTGGAGGATCCTTCCCGCGTTCCAGGGTAGTCCTAGGGCCCCTCACGTGGCCCAGGACCGTCGAAGAGATCGGCTCGGGAGGACGAGCTGACCCTGGGCCCCTTCCTCCCCACCTCGCATTCGCCGTCCTCGTCGACCTCGGCGCCCTCGACGCCTGCACCCGTAGGTCGTTGAAAGTCGTTTTTTGGGGGGAGTCCCAACTTCCAGTCTGCTCTGAGCGCCTTCCTACTTCAAGGCTCGAGTCGAGTGGCTTCCCCTCTTCCGTCCTCCTTAGGAGGCGGGCGGAGACCCAATCTACTTTCAACGCCTTCCTGCTTCAAGGCTCGAGCGGCTGTCCCTCTTCCGTCCCCTCTGGGAGGCGGGCGGAGACCCAATCTATTTTCAACGCCTTCCTGCTTCATGGTTCTACCTACTTCTTCTCACCACCCACCAAACCACTCCAACCCAACCCGAAGGCCTCAGTTTGCCATCCACTTCCAGTGGGGGGGGGGGTCGGGGAACATTGAGAAGACACAGATGGAACCCGTACCCCCTCCAACCCGATATTCGGGTCTTCGGGTTGGGTTGGGGTGGTCTGGTAGGTAGTCATCTTCCGACCGATGGGTACCCAAGGGATCTGCCGACATCTCTCCAGCTGTGCTCCGGCTGCAGCTCCGTGCCGTCGCCTGGGCATCCCGCTTCACTGGGGTGCGCACCCCTGCCAGGTCTTTGCTCAGGAGCGCGCCGAACGGAGCATCCAGTCCGTGGCTCGAGCCCTCACGGCCACGGAACCCCAATCTAGTCTCAGCGCCCTCCCACTTCATGCTTCCACCTCCTTCCGACCGACGGGTACCCCTCGAGGGAGGGACAGCAGCGGCACAAGCAAGAGTCTGTCGGAGGCCCGTCGCTCGGAGCGGCGCGGGGCCCCGCGCAGCAACGGGGGGGAGCGGCAAGTGTGGGGGGGGGGGCAGCGAGGGCGGCAGGAAAGTGGCCCTTCCAGGCCTCGCACGCTTAGCGTACGCTGTTCTTTGGAAGCTGACCCAATGGGTATCAGCATTCACTGAAGTCATTCTTGGAAGCGCTACTGCAGCGCCTTCCTTCATCTCAACCTGCCCCGAGAACAACCAAGACACCTTGCGTGCTGATTGCCCCAGGTCCCTGGAGGGGCCCCCTTGGGGTCCAAATGGGGGCCTTTCGGGCCCGAGAAGTTCCCCCTTCCCCCCCCCCCCCTTCACCTGGCATCGCTCGGACGTGTGTATTTTTTCCTCGGCGAGGACCCTTGAGGAACATCCTGGATCATCGAGCGAAAAAAAAGCACGCACAACACCAAAAATTCACGGGAAATGGACGTCCGAGCGACGGCAAGTGTACCACCCCCTCATGAGGCGACGCCCAACGGACTGAGGCCAAAAAGGATCCAGAAGCATGCGACATGTATATCGCCCTCCCCCCGTGAAGCGACGCCCAATCCCGCGCGCCAGGGGCCGGGGGGGGAGGGTCCGGGGCCAGTCCAGGAAGGATCCGCACGGAGTTCCGACAGTTTTTCAGTTTGCGGGCTGTTTACTCTTCTTCTTATTATTATCATTATTCTTTTTCGTTCTTCTTCTTCTTCTTCTTCTTCTTTCGTTCGTTCGTTCGTTCGTTCGTTCGTTCATTCGTTCTTCTCCTGCTTATAAGCTCCCTCTCTACTATACGCCGGTCGTTGAAAGCACCCGTCGGTCGTTGAAAGTAGGTATTTCTGGATTCCCAGATTCCGATCTACTTCCGTCAGTCAGTTAGCCGTGCGTCCAGTAGGACGCGTTGCCACAAGCCTGAGCCACGCCAAACACGCGCCTGAACAGCCGTGCGACACGCCAAACACGTGCAAAGGACGATTGTGGTCAGACTTGAGACACGCCAAACACGTGCGGAAGCAGGCGGGCGACACGCCAAACACGTGCAGGTGCAGCGCAGACGCGCCAAATGCGCGCGGGGAGGAAGGGGGAAGAGGGAGGTGATTACGATGACAAAGAACATGATGCGCAAAGATTGCGTTCGTTCAAAAACTTCTTTGGCCCATTGCTGTCGTGGACGGCCTCTCCGGCGGCGGGCCCATCTTTTCGGTGCGCCATTGTTTTCGCAAAGTATTTGCTTGACCAAGGATTCCTTACTATGTGAAGTTATTTTATTGTATAAATTCCCCTGCCGTCCAAGCAAAACGTCAGACAGTGGAATATCACCGGCGTTGCTCAAGACGTCAACGTTCCTGACCCTTGATATGTACGAGCACGGTATTCCCAAGACTCTGCGTAGACATCGGCAGTGAAAGGCATCTAATCGTTTTCTGTCCGCTTTCAGCAACCATATATAATCCAAATAATACAACAACTTACTGACAACGCAACTTCTGTAAATTGTGAGCTTCCGGATTTGCCCAATGGAAGCGTGGCTCCATAACTTGTCCAACTGTTTGATCAGTTTGCTTGATTCCCCCAATGTGCGTGTAAGTTTCGCGCTTACTTTACCATCGCATGTGATGAGGCCACCGAGATATTTCGCGACCCTCGTAGTTTTGATCGCCTCCCCAGTTGGTCGCGTAATTGTCTCATCTGTGGATTGTGCATCTGTATTGTCTTTTCCAAATTCAAATTAATACCATAGTTTTTGCCTTCGTCCACAATTGCGGCCAAGATGGATTGCATGTTGTGCTTGTGCTGGGATGCCAAAGCTGTGTCGTCTGCATAGAGGATGTCGCGCGTCACGGCATAGGGGGGTTCCGGGGCCAGCCGGGCGTCTGTGAGCACATCGTTTAGCATCACAGACTGCATTGCCATGAACAAGTATGGAGAGAGCGGACAGCCTTGTGCTATCCCCGCACGTTGTCGCCTTTCAGTAGAGTTTCCAGTGTGGT